CAGCAAGAATTCTGAGCAGTTTGCAAAATTTGCAAAAACGTGTAATCCTCGAAACAGCAGATAACTTTCACAGTTGCAATAGGTGTGTTTTAGCCGAGTTAATTATAATTAAAAATGCTTTATTTCAACAATTATAGCTTAACCTAACAATTTGAGGCGTGCACGCTATCTCGAACATTCGATATTAATTCTACTGTCATCTTCTATTTCCCTGATTCATAACTTCCTGCCAAGGCGTTGCCAGATTGGTATTATCTAACATAAGCTGGAAGTACGTGACTACTTAAGGATACAACAAGGTGGTCCATTTGGTAATTTATTATACGCTTGTTGCCATGTCCCCTATTTGGAATTTTTTACTATTGAATACTTTCGTAGAGGAAAAATGTTTTTAACATATAAATGAATTATCTCGGAATGAATAAGTTTTTTCTAACAAATATTTTTGATACCACATTATGACGCGTTCAAAAATAAAAGAATCTCCTCTAAGCACCCTTCCTTGTATCACAAAAATTAAGTAGGTATAGCTACAAATGTGCCATTAAAATTATCCCATTTTCGTTTTAACAATCAACTGACAAATTCGGTCAGAACCTTTCAGCATTATTATCTATTTTGGTATATTTCTGGGAAAAATATGGTACAATTGAAAAATTGTATACGGCAGCCATAGTTGACGCCCGGAAATTAGAAAATTAGAGATTAATAATAAATTAACTAAACTAAACTCCTTCCTTTCTTTTGTTTATTCACGAACACATGTTTGTGGGTCAGAAGACTTTTTTAATTGTAAGTTTTCGCAGGTAAAATTTTTTCCGGGTGGGCTTTAGTAGTCAGCCGCACCTTGTGTTTTAAGAAAACCAGGTGGAATTAACAAATGAAACTTGGTCAGGATGTTAAGGGAGGTATCCTCTAAAACATGTATAACTAAAAAATATAAATAATATCATTATTTATAAGTTATTTGTTGTTAAAATTTCTTAAGTCGTTCCACTTGGTTTCCTTAACAAAAAAGCATTTGTGCATACTTTTATATATATAAATGCACATAACACTGTACTTAATACTTTACACTCTTTTCTTTTATTTTATCTTGTATATAAATCACTTTAATTAAACTTTTATCGACTTGTAAATTACATTGAATTTCACGCATATTTACAATAACACATGGTTGCAAACTGACACATAACATGTGTTGCCATATTGTACAAAACAATACATACAAAGAAGGCAATGATTAAAAAGGAATACAGGGGAAATCAATACAAAAGAAAATGTTCAGCTCCTTTTCTTCGCAAAACAGAAAGGAGAATTCTATTGCCTGAGGGTTATAATCCCTAAGTGCGGCCGAAGGCCGCCTACGCAGTAAGGTGTTCTCTGCAAAAAGTGTTCAGCTCCTTTTCTTCGCAAACCAGAAAGGAGAATTCTACTGCCTGAGGGTTATAATCCCTAAGTGCGGCCGAAGGCCGCCTACGCAGAAAGGTGTTCTCTGCAAAAGGTGTTCAGCTCCTTTTCTTCGCAAAACAGAAAGGAGAATTCTACTGCCTGAGGGTTATAATCCCTAAGTGCGGCCGAAGGCCGCCTACGCAGAAAGGTGTTCTCTGCAAAATGTGTTCAGCCCCCCCTTCTTCGGCAACACAGAAATAATAATTCTACTAAGTAAAAATTCCGAATTAAAAATCCGCTTTTATTATTCAAAATTCCAGTCTGGTAGCACTAAGTTGTATGTTATTTTGCTATCTTATTCATCGTTGATATGAAAACTTTAACAATAAATTATATAAGAACTATAGGGTTGCTAGAAAAAAGGGGGGTAGTTTTGAAATCAGGGGGTCCTATTCTACCCCCCCTCATCCCCCCTTTTTCTAGAATTTGCCGTCCGTCTACTAAAATTTTGCCTTTTTTCCAGCAGAAAGTGGCAGATTTCAATGTCATTTTGCGCTCTCGATTTCCCCACTTTGCAAGAGCACTGCTATTAACTTGTATTTCTATAAAAGGACACATTTTTGTAAAACTTCCATTCCGTTAAATGCAACGGTTTTTTTTTTAATTTTTGTATTACTAGCACTTAGGTAATAAGTATAACTTGTATGCTGTTGTTGATTACCTTGGCGTTTGGTGGCCTTTTCAAACAATTGATTTGCACTTATGTTTTCCACCTTCGACACGCCATTTTTTATATCATGATTTTTATACAGAAAATCTAAAAACCTGTATGTTATGCAGCGTTTTTGCTGCATTTAAAATGCAACATTTAGCACTTTCGAACATATGTTTTCGAAGAGCGTTCATGCTATAGCATTTAGCAAATGTACATTTACCCGAGTTCGAAATCGTATGCTTTTGAGAAACAGCCGTGTTCCAGTCTCTTATTTAGATGCGTATATATTACGATCAATTCTCACGCAGAAGATAATGTGCAAAAACCCTACTGAAAAGGAAAAAATAAATTTCAAACCAAAAATTCAATACAAAAACTTGAATTGTTTTAACCATAACCGAACATTTGTTTGTGTATATATTCATTTGTCGGTGCTGTCAATTAAAATTTCCTCACTTAATTAGGAAACAAACCAAACAGAGTTGATCACAAATTGATCCAGATTTCTATCAGCATCAAATCGATGTTGAATTTGCTTAACTTTCTTTATCCAAATATGTAATGCAAAATAAAAGAAATCTCGATCGGCGATCACTGAAACGCAGCTAGCAACTGTATACTCGAAAAAACAATGTTGCCACTTTTTCCCTTTAAACCATGTTCGAATCGTGGAAATTTTGGAAGATCACAGGGTTGCTTTTAGCATTTAGATCCTTAATGCAAAAATGGAGTTGCATTTAGTTGCATTTAGGTGACGAATTTTGTATGGATAAATGTACATTTAGAGTAGCATTTAGAGCTTAATGCGCTAAATGTGCTTTTACGCGTAAGCAAAAACAGCCTATTACTATGAATGCATGGTCTTTTAAATGTTGGTACTTTCTCGGCTTATTTAGTACACTTTTTTTGCCCATTTGGTACAAAATTAAAAAAAACCATTTATCATCCCTGGTTCAGCTGTGATTTTTGCTCTCTCAATTCTCTCTTTTGCAGGTTTCTTGAAAGTTTTTGCGTACGAAAACACCACGGTCCAGAAAACTATATCATTCTTGCGAAACACCATCCAGTAAAAACCAGTAATAGTACTGCATTTTACTGGATAGTGCGTACGCGAAAAGGACTATTATGTCGACCTTTGGAAGGCATATAAATTTAATATGCCTTGGGCCTTTGTACGTACTTTATACTCACAAAGTGACTTAAAAAACCTAACAAAATAAACCCAAAGCAAGGGCCTGTTCGAGGCACGTAACAAAAGCGGCATTACTGCCGCACTGATGAAAATTTCAAAATGATAACACGTTGCTAGAAATTCACACCGAACGTGATACTTTAATAATTCGCGCAACACTGCAGTTGTGATTGCAACTCGAACAAGCCCCAAGTGTTTTAATGAACTTTGCAATGGAGTTCGGTTTGAATGGGAACAGCGATATTGAGAATATATTTTTTATTTCTCGCCAACAAAATACGTAAAGTTATGCATACTTTCAAGCAAATGTGTAGGTATTAATCAAAAAGTGTTTTTATTTAATTTACTGCCCTGACGGAATTTTTTTTCATTCGCGCTTCGATTTCCGGTCGGAAATGCCGTATAAGGCCTTGTACAGGCCAAGCCGCGCCATCAGCTAATGCACAAATCGTATGCCCTTCAATTTGTTTGGATATCTCCCACAGCATATCAATTTCTTCGGCTTGACCATTTCCAGCAACAAAGCTAAAAAATAGCATATTTCAAACATGTAATACATAATTACTTCTTAAATATTAGATCATACCGTTTCATGATTTTATGCATCCACATAATACCTTCGCGACATGGTGTACATTGACCGCAACTTTCGTGGCGATAAAACGCAGTCAAACGCTCAATGGCCTTAATAATATCCGTAGACTTATCCATAACAATAAGGGCAGCTGTACCCAATGACGTCTGAGCAGCAATTAATCCGTCAAAGTCCATTAAAACATCATCACAAACTTTTTTTGGAATAACGGGCGTTGATGAGCCGCCAGGAATAACTCCAAGCAAATTATCCCATCCACCTCGAATACCTCCAGCATGACGTTCAATAAGTTCTTTAAGTGGAATCGACATTTCCTCTTCAATTGTACATGGCTTATTTACATGTCCAGATATATTAAACAGTTTTGTTCCAGAGTTACGCGTTCGTCCAAAACTTGCAAACCAAGCACCTCCCCGCCGCATAATTGTGGGAGCAACTGCGATGGTTTCCACATTGTTGACAGTAGTGGGGCATCCGAAAACGCCAACATCAGCTGGAAATGGAGGCTTTAGACGAGGTTTTCCTTGTTTGCCTTCGAGCGATTCGATCAACGCAGTTTCCTCTCCACAAATATATGCGCCTGCTCCACGATGCATGAAAACATCAAAGTCATATCCGGAACCACAGGCATTTTTTCCAATTAAACCGGCTTGATATGCCTCGGCAATAGCTAACTGCATATTTGAAGCCTCATTGTAGAATTCTCCACGAATATATATGTACGCAGCACGTGCACCCATAGCACGACCAGCGACTAAGCAACCTTCCACAAGTTTATGAGGATCATGACGCATTATTTCACGATCCTTGCAAGTACCAGGCTCCCCTGGAAGGTTTTACAATATTTTATAATTGAACAATTTAGCCGAAATCAAAAATCACCTTCATCGGCGTTCACGACTAAGTATTTTGGACGTCCATCAGATGGCTTATTCATGAATGACCATTTCATGCCTGAGGGAAAGCCAGCTCCTCCGCGACCACGTAAACCAGATGTTTTCAATTCATTGACTATCCAATCGGAGCCCTTTAGCAAGATTTCTTTTGTCTTATACCAATCTCCGCGTTTAAGCGCCCCTTTTAATCGCCAATCATGACGTCCATACAAATTTGTAAAAACGCGATCTTGATCGGCAAGAGGTCCAAACTTAGTTCTTGTTTGAGTAGGCGGGGTACCGGGCGGTGTAGTACTTGTGCTTTGCAAACGGAGTTGTGTCACAACAGGCAAACTGACAAATGCTGAAAGTATAATAAAAATGATAATAGGAATATTAATTATTAGTGTACTTAATTATCCTCCAATTACATAACTGAAAATTGGTAAAAATCGATTTTTTGTATATATAACTACAGAATCAAGTTTTGAATTTTATATAACGCCCCCAATACTTCTACACTAATACAAATTCTTACCAAATTGCTGTTTTTGAAGAAAGTTTATCCTCACCAGCGCTGCAGCCATTTTAAAATGTTGTGTGCACAAAACAAAAACAAATAGCTTTTAACTAGCTTAAGATGCTAACGATGCATCGATGTTTTCGAAACATCAATCGGTTCAAAATTGAATGTTGCAATCGATATTTCCAATTTTCTAAAATCTAACTAACTTATGGGCTGTTTTTGCTTACGCGTAAATGTACATTTAGCGCATTTAGCTCTAAATGCTACTCTAAATGTACATTTATCCATACAAAATTCGTCACCTAAATGCAACTCCATTTTTGCATTAAGAATCTAAATGCTAAAAGCAACCCTGTGATCTTCCAAAATTTCCACGATTCGAACATGGTTTAATGAGAAACACTGGCAACATTGCTTTTTCGAGTATACAGTCGCTAGCTGCGTTTCAGTGATCGCCGATCGAGATTTCATTTATTATTTTACATTATTTGGATAAAGAAAATTTACGCAAATTCAACATCGATATGATGCTGATAGAAATCTGGATTAATTTGTGATCAACTCTGTTTGTTTTGTTTCCTAATTAAGTGTGGAAATTATAATTGACAGCGCCGACAAATGAATATATACACAAACAAATGTTCGGTTATGGTTAAAACAATTCAAGTTTTTGTATTGAATTTTCGGTTTAGAATTAATTTTTTCCTTTTCATTAGGGGTTTTTGCACATTATCTTTTCCGTGAGAATTTATCGTAATAGATACGGATCTGAATAAGCGACTGGAACAGGGCTGTTTGTCAAAAGCATACGATTTCGAACTCGCATAAATGTACATTTGCTAAATGCGGTAGCATGAACGCTCTTCGGAAACATATGTTCGAAAGTGCTAAATGTTGCATTTTAAATGCAGCAAAAACGCTGCATTATAAGCTCGTCAGAATGGTTACTTGTACGCCAATAACAGAAAAGTATGCGAAGGAACTTGCGTACGTAACGTAGAGATACGCCACAATGAAGGTGTTGCGTCTGTAAAAAAAAAAATCTGCTGTTCCTTATGGCCGCATACTTGTTGCTTACACAAGTCAATTTTGCAGATACAATAGGTGTGTTTAATGAGCTGCTCTACGTTACGCCAGGTCACAAAATAGCGTTCCATGAGAATTTTCTTGCTCTAACTTAAAGTGTGTTTGCATTGTTCAACTTTGCGTTCAACATTTGCGTTCAACTCAGCGCAGGGTTGCACGAAAAAAAAGTTGAATGGCTAAAAATATCAAAATATGAAAAAAAATCAAAATATTCGCCATAAAAAGGTGTTTGCATTGTTCAACTTTGCATTCAACTTTTGGTTGAATGGCCTTTCAACTAATCGCTTTCAATAAAGTTGGTCGCCAGCCAACATTTAGCCATTCAACTTTTTTTTCGTG